TAACAACTGGTTTTACAAGATAGTCTTCCTTTTGAGGATTGGTTCCAACTCTTTTTTTTCCTCTTCTGTTGAGGAAATGTTTTGGGGTTTTTGTTGGTTTGGTTTTTTTTTTTTTTTTTTTTTTGATGGTGTGTAATACGCTGTAGTGGAACTTAAACTGCCCAGGGGCTGTGCTGAGGCTGCCAAGTCTGTGGGACTAGTCATCTTGACTTTGCAGGACTGTTTTCCCTAGGGGAAAACACAATCGCCAGGTTTATTGTACAGTGACAGATGTTTAATTTGTAAATGTCACGGCAACTTCAAGGACTCTGTGTTTGGCATACGATGCTTCAAATACTGGTTTTACGTGAGAAGACAGCTATGATATATGGCTGGAGCTCCTACAATTCTGCTGGCTTGCTTTTTCTGAATTCTCGTGGAGATGGCAGCACTTAACCCTTTGCTAATAATCTGCTGCAGTTGAGGTGTGTGATTTCTTTTCTTGTCAATGACAGGAATGATGTAAAAATCCTGTTGATACAAAGTCTGTAGCATTCAAAACTAGTCTGATCGTTTCTTTATTTTCATTGTCTTTCAATGTCACTTGCCTACAACATCTGTAATAACAAGTTGTTTTAGTCAGGATTTGTCTGCTCTAGCAGTCAGATATCTGTCTCTGAGCTAGCAGTCTCGACTCCATGTGTAGCAAGTAAAGGGAAATCAGTGGTTCTAGGTTCTAGACACATTGCATCCCATGTGCACCTACTATTTTGCCTTGACTGGACATAGAGCTAGTCAGTTTGGCATCCCTTTAGAATTATATTAGAGGAAGCCATCTTTAAAATTAGCAGAAATAAAAGAAACTTGTGTTCCTAATATTCTGAATTGTCCCAAAAGTCCAGGTTGGTTACACTTAACTTCAGACACACAACTGACACATCCGAGCTGTAAGTGTCATTGTCCTACTGAGTAATTAGTGGAGCAATGCGTTTCTGAAGGGTTCACACAGGCTGAAGCTCAAAAGGCACAGTACCAATGATTTCCTTTTTATTGGGAGTAGAAGGAGCATAGAAATACTACTCTCCTAATGTAGCTGAGGTGCTAAAAGTAAATGGGATGAATTTGTTAACTCCTGTTAGTAGTACTTACGTTGAGGTGCATTATAGCTCTCCTATAAACCATGTTTGCAGTGGTAGTAAGCTGATATGGGTGGGTTAAGGCAGGTTGATCCATATTTCCCTAGTAGTTCTTCCTGCCAGGTTATGTGACCTTTTGTAACATGAGACATCATTATGTGTTCCGTGTACCAGTCTTTCAAGGGTGGCTACAATGAAGATGGAGACTTCCTTTTCACAAGGAGTCCTGTGGAAAAGAAGAGGGGTAATGGGTGCAAATTAATCCTGAGAAGATTCTGACTCTACATTAGAGGGAAATTTTTCCCAATGAGAACAGTCAACCATTGGAATAATCTCCCTAGGGAAGTGTTTGACTCTGCCACATTGGACACTTTTAAGATGCAGCTGGACAGGGTGCTGGGCCATCTTGTTTGGACTATGCTCTTGCCTAGAAAGGTTGGACTAGATGATCCTTGACATCCCTTCCAACCTGGTATTCTGTGATTCTATGTACAGTGTTTGTGATAACTGCATCTCTTGCGATCCAAAAATATTTTGCTACTGCAGTCACAATGACATTGTATTGGGTTTTGCAGAACATGCTTCCATTCAACAAATTGGGACTGTGTGCTCCGCTGCTGGACCAAAGTCCGTTTGGCATACCAAAATGCCCTCTCATCCAGAATAAAATTCATTAAGCTAGGCAGCAAGTGACAATAGGCTTAAATGTGACCTTTGACTGCTGTTCATAAATGTTCTTCATGGGCCTTCTTGGGTCCTTAGCCCAACCTACCCTAAAGACAGATACGGGATGTTATTAACTTGTTTAGAAAATAACATCCATCTGACAATTGTGTGATGGTTTGTGGTGGTTTGACCCTGGCTGGGTGCCAGGGGCCCACCAAAGCTGCTCTATCACTCCCCTCTAACTGGACAGAGGAGAGAAAAGTAAATCAAAAGGCTCGTGTGTCGAGATAAGGACAGGGAGAGACCATTACCATCATGGGCAAAACAGACTTAACTTGAAAAAAAATTAATTCATTATCAATCAAAATCAGAGAAGGAGAGGAGAAAAACTGCTAGATCTTAAAAACCTTCCCTCCACCCCTCCCTCTTTTCT